TGTCTACTACCCTATTAATGTTTTTAATCAGCAAATCCGTGATGAGTAACATTTAATATTAAAAATGACTTATAAATGGATTTTATTTATTTCAGCCGATGTCGAGAGCGTTAGTTAACGATGGGTACGGGATTAGTATTAGTATAGTCGGGAAGGGGGTATAACCACCGTAGCTAGTTTTTAATAAAGACTACACTTTGTAAGCGAACGAATTGCAAATGTTATAATGTTTAATAGCAAGTAATATAATAATATTACGTAGAAACCTATGAAATTACCACTGGCTTGAGTTATTACATAGAACTCATATAATAACTGGTGATAAATGGTATATTGTATATCTATATTCACCTCTTAGAGCATAGTACAGTTTGTCACGTTCAAAGTGATCGACACGTTAATGACGGGGCTAAATGCGGTAACGTTTCGATCCGGCTCTCTGCCTACGGATAAATATTTTGATTTTCAAATGGCTACGATAGAATGGTTATTTCATAGGTTAATATTTAATATTATTAACAGGATTTGTTTAAAAGTTGATTGGAGATAAATTCTGAGTTGAAACGTTTGCGCTAAATATGCGCAAAGTTAGCGCAATTTGTGTAAAAGTTTGCGCAAAGAGTATAAAGTGTGTAACTGCTAGTTTTAGCAGAAATTTCAATTTGATTTCGACACTTAAAGCACATTTTTTATTTTTTAATGAATTTGAATCTTTTGAACGCCGCTGTCGACTATATCCTCTTAAGACCTGAACTTGAACCAAATATGATAATAATGTTTTTTGTGGTTTATTGTAATTATAGGGGTATAAATAAGACACAATTTTTTTTTATTAATATAATTAATAAAAAAGTTGGTGCACATGTGTACCTTCGGTTTCGGCGTGGGCACTATGAAACTCTGTAATCTATAATAACTTATTCAAGTACTAAAAGCTGTCAAAAGATGTCGCTACTAGTTTTAGCTTGAATCAATTATAGGTGCACATATGTGTAACCACGGTCTCAAGAGGATATACAAACGAAATATGATGTTATCCGTCACTGTCGACCACTGCCGACAAGAAAACATGTTTTTTAAGTACATTTTGTTTGTCGCCGCGTCGGCCAAAAGGTTAATGATCTTGAAAAATCAAGTTCCAATAAATCTATCTCTAATGAACTTTTAGATGTAATTTAATGAAATTCCAAGTCAATAATGATTCCATAATAATGTATTAAAAATGTTAATCAATTGTGTACATTACTGTTATATTATATTATATTATATTATAAAATAATATAAATAATCACTTTAACATTGAGTAGAAATTATAAATATTATTTATATTTGTTTTTATTAAAGACCTATTTCATAATTGGCGATTAAGTTTCTGGTAACGTATTTGATAGATATATTTTGATGAATGTAGATGAAGCGAAAGAGGTATGCTAGAATTGGGTACTTTCGTTAATCAAAAATAAATTATTTCGACTGTTCAATACAATAAAATATTAAAAAATAATCACACTATCATCAATTAATGTTATGACCAAATTAATTTTGGTATTTTTCCAGTAAATTTTTAAGAAATAAGTATGCTGTTTGACGCTAAAAAACGTACAAAATTCATAGAAAACTGTCTTTTTTGACAGTTCGAAAGAAGTATTGAATTTGACTAGTTGACAAGTACCCAATTGTGGCAGTTGGCTTTCTATTGTCTTTGCCTCCTAATGGGAGACAGGCGTGACGATAGTTGTATGTAATTTGATACATTTTCTACGGAAGATAAGTCAAAATATTATCTGTTAGTTAGACTATCAGGAATTTACCTAAAAATGAATGAAATATGGTCTCAATAATGTAAAATTTTCAGTCAATTCGGTTAAGATTTAGAACAAAATATATTGAAAAATTATAATTTGACTAAAAGCCAATTTTAATGAGTTTACAAACACCATCCTATCGATGTAAAATTTTTGAAATGTCGATTACGAAGTCTCGATTTCGATCCCTGGGTATGGCAAAGTATTATTAATATTTGATTATGAAATTCTTAGGCTAAAGTTGGTTTAAGTCTGATGCTGACAGTACGTGCACCTACAGCGCTGATGGGACGAGATATATGGACTTCTAGGAAGCGTTTTTGAATCACACGTAGCTCTCTGCGCGCAGGGTGGTCAGCGCTGACCCCCAAGTTCCCTGACCTGACGGTGCGCGTTCCGTCGGCGGACACCATAATAACCCTTCAGTCACCACTAACAATCCGTCACAGTGCACTGCTGGATTATGCATAGGAGGAGTTTGCTATAATCTCCTTAGTCGGGTATATGACACACGCCGAAAGAGTAGGGGTGGTGTCAAATGTATTATTCTCTGTTTTTATTGGTATCTTTGACAATAAGTATACTCTATTACATGGGAGACATAACATAATTGTAAATAATTTTGAGAATATTTTGGTCCAAATGTTATTTTGAAAAATTGCCAGTTTTGTCAAAACAGTGATATTGACAGTCTCTAACAGGATATCGATGGACTAAGGGCTTACCCACGTAAGGGGTCATAAATTACGTCATACGAAATTCGTGATTTTTACGCTCCTCCCCCCCCCCCGCCCCGTCCTTGTCACATTTGCGAAACCTCCGCCTCAGTAGAGTGACGTCACATTTAGCAAATCCTAGAATGTCCAACGATCCTCAAATTACTAATCCCCAAAAGACACCGCAATGCACTTGTAACGCCTCTGGTGTTCCACGTATCCATGAGTGACGCCGATTGCTTAGCACCAGGTGGTACGCTCGCTCGTTTTCGGCTTATCCCATAAAAAAATTACACATCGAAAGTATTATATGAAAACAGCTATTCCGAAATCAGTTTTAATAATTATTTTCTAATAACATTGAAATCAATTCAAACAAGTAGAGCGAGTGATCGACAAAGCAATTGATATCCTATTATTACACAGATATAGTTGTATATTATGTTTTTGATGATGTCGTAAATTAATAGTTCAAAATAAAATTGGTATTTAAACACAGATTATAATAGTTTTTCGAATTGCCGTCACGAAGCTTAGAATCCCTCGCTCCTTGTTACACAATCACACTTCGTCGACCCCCTTAGAACGAAGTTTAGGATGCATCTCTCCAACTTGTCACTCAGACTACTTCGCCGACCCCCTTCCCCCTACCCCTTTATATAGTGACGTAATTCATGGATGACCCTCTTAATGGGTTTGCCATAATGTTCATTGTTGGCTAAATAACCAATTTATTTTTATTAAAAAAAAAGAATTAAATAATTTACAGTATTCTCAATTTTCATCAATTATATTATAATTCTCATTCTAATAGATGTTGATACATATTGTCACAAAACAAAATTCCGAAATCGGTTCTCGATTTTGTCACTGAACATGTTCATCGAAAATCAATAATATTTTGCCTGATTCTGCTATCGAACCCGAGAACTCATTGCTCTATATGCTAAAGTAATTCATGACTTGTGAAATTGGCTTTTTTATATTCAAAACATACATTTTATTGTATTCATGACAATAGGGTAGGATCCTAATAGTTATTTCTAGTTACTACCTCGTTGGTTGAGTCATCGCAAAAGGGACTGCCGATCTCGAGGTTTGTACGATACTCGGGTCCAACAAGGTGTTATTGGGATTTTTGTGTACCGAAATTCTCTATAATAATCACCGAGTTTGGAATTATACCCGGTATCAACTAATAACATCTCATACTGAGTCAATATTCATATTAAAAACTTGGGTAACTGTACATACATACATACATAATTCTATATACATACTTGTAGATTTGATTCTAAAAGCTTTACTAAAGGAATTAAAGACTTACGTCTATTAGAAAACTAAATTAAATAGAAATTTGTGTAGTATCTATATTTAATAGACATTATAATCTATTTTGACATGATATTATCGTCATAGTATTCTATAATATATCTCCAAAAGGCCAGAAACGCACTATTAACGCGTCTAGTATTCAGAGGCCTTGTCCGGCGCTCTGATTGGTTGGTTCATTTTAGCCGGCCAATCACAACGCCGGAACGGATACTCATAACGATTATTTTAAACGTAAAAGAAATTCGTACTAAGGCCTCTGGTGTCTATGGCGACGCCGATTGCTTATCATCAGGTGATCCGTCTTCTTATCGCCGTATGCTATAAAAAGGATTTATCAATCTAACAGTTTAACATTGACATTAAATTATAATAATAAATCTCCCGGTAATTTCAATCATGGTGGCCAGTCTAACTAGACTAGCCCATTGCGCAAGACACTATAATAGTGCGCAAACACATGTGCACTCTCTGTTTCCCCCCACCTTCTGAACCCAAAGGAACGACAAAGAAACACGACCGGAGAGAGATCACATCACATTGACATCTAGATAGTGACATTGTTATATCATTATGTCACTAATATATGACCTTTGTGTAGCCATTACAATACTTATGACGCAGTTATGTGGCTATTGTGACAATTATATCTCTTAAGGAACATTTCCTTATTATTTTAACAGCTTAATTGAGGCTCTTAGTCCGCTTACGCACTAGCGGTTGAGCGCCTAGGTGTATCAACAGACGCGGTTGCCATAGCGGTTGAATGGTTAGCAGCCCGGTTGACCGCTAGTGCGTATGGGGGCTTATGGTTCGATATTTCGTTTAAAAATTGTATTAATATTGACTATAAAACATAGTAAAAAGAGAAAGGATAGAATTGAAAAACGAGCGATTTATAGAAACTTTTGAGAATAATTTGAAAAAAATAATTAAAACTATTATCTTTGGGATTTTGTAACATTCCTTATTAACGAAAAACATTCTGGTACTTACCAGGTTTCAGGAACCTGTATACGGGGTTTAAATCTTTACCCATTGACTAAAGACCATTGTCATGTTTTATTGTTGTAAATATGTCAGCTACTGTATATGGATTTACTACCAATGTGACTGGTAAAACAATAACATAAATAATAATAATAATAAAGGCTCGATTTTTCAATCATCTGAGACTTTAGTACAAGGTTTTTTCACGTTTACAGTAACCGAAACGAGTACGCGTTCGGCGCTGTGATTGGTTGCGTCATTGGCGCCGGCCAATCAGAGGAACGCGTACTCGTTTCGAATACTATAAACGTAAATCAAACTCGTACTAAGGCCTCACTGAATTGTTTACGGTAGAATTAAATTGACATTGGACAGTTTTCAGTATGGAAGAATTGTCAAAGTTATTGTTCAGTTGAAAATTTATCTAGCGTTGGAAAAATCGACCCTAAGACATATATTTTGTCGCGGAGAACCTAACGGGTAACCGGGGCTCCGGCTCGACGTACAGGAGAAGGAACGGGGTGGTTTTTAGTCAGTAAGAGTCTGACACTCCCTCCCGCCTCACCCAGGCAGGAGCAGTCATTCGATGATTTTCCCCCCTAAAAAAAGACAGTTTTTTTATTTTGGTATCCCTATTTATTTTCGATTTCGCACAAAAATGTACAAATAGTAAATATGCATTGTAATTATTCTTTTTTACTTATATTTTTTTATTAATTAAAGAAGTCAGACATGTTGTATTTTTGTGGCTTATTGTAAAATAATAATAATAATGTTGTTGTATTTTTCTGCGGTTGCAATTCTTCGTGATCTTCTTTGTTGGCTAAAAATGTAGGGAAGTCGTTTGTATTGAAATTGTTGAATGGTTTTAAATGTATTACGTCATCTAGTCATTTAGAAAGTGATTGGAACGACAACGCATTCCGAGTTTACCCATATGATGGTCAACATGAAAGAGAGAGTTACCACATGGGATTAGGTAACACCCAATTAGGAGCGCTCTACGCTAAAAACGATTCGCAACCCAAACCAGAGGCATTGGCAGAGGCAAAAAATAGAAACATATCTACGATTGAAAGTGAAGAGATTTGATTCTCAAGTTTTTATTGTTAATTAGTATCATTTATGTTTGAAATCCTATCCTCAAAAAAACTTTGTTTCGTCGTAAAACGGTAAACGCTATGGGGGTCACCACCGGTGACCGCCATTAACTCGTCGAGTACCGGTTTTGTAGACACAATTATAGAACAATAGGTTGCGGTCACCGGTGACCGCTTGGTGTTTGACAGTTTAAGCGAGAATTTGCCTTCCAACAGTTTTATATTGCCAGTTCCATAATACATAATTTTGTTTACCCTATTAAAAGGACATCGTGGTGG